ATGGTCGCAGCAGGTCAGGACAGCTTCACTGGGAGCAGCTGAAACACTCTGATGTTCGCACGTATTCACTCCAGTTAGGACGAGGTGTTATATTGTTTTACTTTATACTTGCACTTGCCTGTTGGCAAAAATGTAGATTAACATAACTCCCTCTAATAACCACATTCCTACATAAAACCTATGTCTACACAGGATCATGTCTATACTGGCCTGCAGTGCTTGAGTAAGAAAAAAACTGATTTGTCCAACTTAGTTCCAAAGTATCTTAAAAAGCTCTTAAAAAACATTAAATCTAAGTGTCTGATACCTGTAGACTGTAAAATAAACTGGATCTACACTTTAACATGCACACAGCCATGTTAAAATGATTCTGTTTCTTTTCTTAAGGTTTGGTGAATCCACCGGGAACACCAGTCCCACTCCAGGTCTGTTGTCACTCTACTCCTTCACTAAACTGACTTTCTGTTTCTCAGTGAAGCAAAATGATCAGTGAACATACATGTTTCATTTTAAACACAGAGCTTAAGATAATGAGTCATAAAATTCTGTTGTTAGTTTCTTATGTTGTTCTTTCTTTACATTGCTTTTTAACAAGAACAATGAACACCAGAATATCCACATCCAAACACTAGACCACTAAATTCATACATCATATTGCTTCAGCAACAAGTGCAGCTTTAACATGTTTTTCATTATGTTTAAGGTTTGTTGTTTTCTGCCGCTTGTCACTCTGACTTTTTTCCTCTGTCTCCCAAACAGGTGTCGTTGCAAACAGTAAAGCTCCTGTAAGTGTTGCATCATTTACAGACACATTTATTTAATGCCTCCAGTAAATGAGATCATGTTCATTTGACTGTTTTTGTGTCTCATGAAGGTGAACGTCGAACAGCTGAAGAAGAGAGCAGAAAGATTCGGCATGAACGTTTCGTCCCTTTCACAAAAGGTGATTGAGTTTTAATTCACGGTGTAACTGCACAATGATGATGACATTTTTTTGTGGGGCTGCTCCTGACTAAGAATTTTCCTAGTTGACCAATAGTCGTCATTTAGGGCCATTAGTCGACTAGTCGCCTGCATGTTTATGATATTAATTCAATTATTAAATAATATATTTTGGTGGTTTGAGTTGAAGGTGTGAGAAAGAATAGTGTCAGTAACATTGTTAACACTGTGCTACATTACAGAGAAATACAAAACCATACTAATGAACCTTCATTAATATAGGCCTATATTTTATCTCCAAGTGCACGTCACACACTGAGCGAGCCGCCTGTTAATGACGCTGTGGACTAATGGGCATGTAGCTACTTCCATGTTTCAGATGATACGTCATGTTTGTAGTCGACCAATGAAGATGAGTTTACATATCACCTTGGGTTCGTCCTTCACCTTCTCAAAATGATCCCACACTTTGGATTTCCTGCCCGACATGTTATTAACTAGCCTGTGGAATAACCGCAGGTACCAGCCCTGGAAATTAACCTGACTCCTGTGTGACTGCTGAGCGTGGACACTTCCTTTGTCTGTCCTTTCAAATTAAATTCCCACATGGTCCAGTCATATAGGTTTTGATTTATTTTGACAAGGCGCAGCTCCTGATGGAGTTTCATGGGGGGGGTTTTGTGTGTGTTTTTTTTCTGTGACTAAATAACCAAAGAAATCTTGATGACTAATGACCTTTCTGGTCAACTAACATTTGGTTGACTGTTAGGGGTTGGCCCTAATTTTTTGGAGTCTAAAATTTGGCATCAAAATAATGCTGAAAATGTTTTTTTTCCCCAGATTGAAGAAGATGAAAAGCTGAAAAAGAGGAAGGAGAGGTTTGGGATCTCAACAGGTGCAGCTTCAGTTGGTTCAGCCGACGTTGAGGTAGGTTGTTTTTTTCCATTCTTTGCATTTTCTTTGACTTTTTAGAAAACGTTAGAAATGTTTTGCAGTGTTTCCCCACAGCACAGTGAGTTTAACATAAAAAGGTCAAAGAAGGAGCGATTGTGGATTAACGTCTGTGTTTCCTTTCTCTTTTTTCGACAGGCAAAGAAAATGAAGCGTGCAGAAAGATTTGGAAAAATGTGATTAACGTTTTAGAGCCTGTGTTTTTTTGTAAAGCATTTTCATTACTGCACAACAGAGATCCCTGAAGACGACTAATGTCACTAATAGGATTCCTGTGAATCAAAAGTGTGATTAAATACAAAGATAAATGGGTGAGTTGGATCATTTAAATGGTTTAGGAAATGAACAACAAGGATAAAGCTCAGTTATTCTCCGAGCCTCAGGTCAGTGGGTAATTTGAATTAGGAAAAACATTTGATTTCAACCTTGTCATTATTTACCGGAGCACCTTTTTCTCAGCGAAGCTCATTAGTTCTTTTATTTGCCTTATTTTTATATCAGAATTAGAGGGATGTTTATAAAATACACAGACAGTATTAGCTCCTGAGTAACATCCCAAATACACTGTTAATGCTTCAATGCTTTCTTAAAGCTGCAGTGAAGTCCATTTATAGTCTTTATTTAGCAGCGAGTGAAACAGCTCCTGCAGTAAAAGCCCTCAGGTTGTTTAGGGGGAATCATTTGTTCTCAGTCAGATGATTAAACGGTTAGAAATGTCTTTTTCATTATCAAACATGCAACAAGGAAAACTGGAACTTTTGGCCGTGGAAAAAGAAAATGTGTAATAAATTTTTGAGATTGTTCAAAGACCCGGAAATTAAAAAAAAATAAAATTAAAAAAAAAAGTAAAGTCAAATAGCAAAAACATCAAGTTAATGATAGGTGAAAGATTATTTCTGTTTATTAGAAGTGCTGCAATTAAACAAACCATTTTCTGACAGTCCATTTAAATGATTGAACTCACTTGTTTGGTTGTTTTTTAATTACTCTGTGTGTATTTAATTATACTTTTGATTTGTCAAATAGCCTATTATTTTTGTGTTCTCTCTTTGGGATTCCATGGGTACACTGCTTCAGTTATCTGTCCATTTTATAACATTTTGTGATTTAAAATAAATTGTTTTCAACTTTTTGATATCTGCTTCGTTTGACTCGTTTTTTATCTTTTCATAGAAAAAAATCCAAGTAGGTACAAGAGAGACTTGATGATGAGGGTGTTGGTTAATGCACTAATTGACATGAAATAAACTGGGGCCAAAGCTCTTCGCCTAGCAATGGAATAGCAATGAAATGGTCTGAAGTCTATAAAATCAACATCATATGAATAATATCATAGTAGTCCAGACCCATTGAGTACAGCATACCATACCATGACTTAGTCATACCAAAAATTAGAAAAAAACCATTGGTCCACAGGGGGAGCCACAGCGATCTGTTGCATTTTAGCCATTTTGAAGGATTTTTCTGTTGTTATAGCGCCACCCAGTTGCCAATTAGAGTTAAATTTCTCCAGTCACCTTGAGGCGTCCTGATCTACATATCTACCAAGTTTAGTAAAAATCCATATGGCGGTTAGGCCTAGATAAGAAATGAGCTCTCTAGCGCCCCCATTTTGTTTGATGGGGTCAATAATGGAGGGGTCCCCTCAGATTATGTGTGGTCATATGCCTACAAAGTTGCGTGGTGATGGGTGAAACCCTTGAGATGTTATACACCTTTATGTGATGAGCCACGCCCTCCGCAATATTCATTGCCTTATAGAAGCTCAGTTTTAGTAAGTTTTCCAACTTTTGCCAAGAGGGAACTTTAGATATTGGTCCCTAGATTATGTTCACCCAGTTTCATGCAGATCGCTCAAACTTCCTAAGAAGAGATCCATTTGAAGTGTTTTTAAAAAATTCAAAATGGCAGAAAATCTATATAACCGGAAGTTACGGGTTCTTGAGGCAAATGTGTTCCTCGTGAGGAGAGGCATCTCTGTGCAAAGTTTCATGTCTGTACGACATACGGGGCATGAGATATGCCCATTCAAAGTTTGCGATTTCAGTTGGTTGCTATAGTGCCCCCCTTTGGCCAATTGATGTAATATTGCTTCATTGGCATCCTCCCATGACCCTCTACCACTGTGCCAAATTTCACATGGATTGACCAAGTCAGTGAGGAGAAAAACATGGAACAGACACACAGACACACCCACAGAGTTTTCATCATTATATAGTAAGATAAGATGAGACAGATGTCAGTGAAGGAGTGTAACCAAGTACATTTACACAAGCAATGTGCTGAAGAACAGTTTCGATGTACTTTAATACTTGAAAATATGTTTGATATGATGCAGTATTACACCACAGATGCTAAATGGACCTGCACTTGTTTGTCTCATTTGTAGTCTCCCAACCACTCACAGCACTTAAACACTACATGCCACTTTCACCCATTCACACACTGGTGGCTAAGACTACTGTACGAGGTGCTTCCTGCTACTCAGCTTAAACACTCACAAGCACTCAGTGAGTTGGGATTCAGTATTTTTTGCCTATATTTGACAGGACAGTAAAGCATGACAGGAGAGGATGGGAGAGAGAGAGCAAGGAAGACATACAGCAAAGAACGAAGGCCTGATTCCAACACACAACGCTGCAACAAAGGCTAGCTGCACCTTTCCCATGAGAACTACCAGTGCGCCCCACTTTTAAGTCAATACAAAACACTTTAACTATCTGCCTTTCAACGTGCTACCTCAACTACTAATGTACAGTTTTAGCCCACTAACTATCCCACTATTGGCAATGGTAACTTTTTACTGTACTTTCAAGCAATCATACTATCAAATTCACAAAACCTGAATACATTACTCTTCTTAATGGGTTCAGTTGACTATTTAATGTGCAATTTCCTATGACCTGTATCCCAAACACACACCATGTGAAACTGTACGTGGGCAACTGTGCACTCAATGGGTATGGACTAGGTCATAAAAATTCATGAAACTTGTCAGGGGGTATATTTGGTTGTTTTGGCGACACCTGCTGGCCGCTACAGGAAGTACGCCGACCCGGCGTGACGTATGTTCCTGTGACGCGCAGAAATTTTAAACTATCGTCCTTCTCAGTGATGGCGGCTTCGTTTCGTTCTCTCCCTGCAAGCTGTAATAACAAATGGTACTACACCCGGCAACAGATCGACAACAGCCCATCTCGGCGAGCGGGACTTGATCCGGACAAGGAGCTGTCCTACAGACAACAGGCGGCGAACCTGCTCCAGGACATGGGACAGCGGCTCAATGTGTATCTTTTGTCGGGGGACGACTTGCGTCTCATCTAGCCAGCGTTAGCATGTTAGCTAGCGAAGTTTAGCTTCTCGTGAAGCCGGTTCGGCCAGGAGCGTGGCCGGTGTTTGTTGTTGTGTTTACTTCGAGGGGATTTTGTTTGTTTGTGTGTTTTCCGTCTGCCACACGCGGTGGTTTGTGATTTTACTGCGTTAACGTTAGCTTGCTAACGGCGTAGTAGGCTCAACCGGGGCCACGAAGGCCTGTGTGGTCGGCGGGCCTTCAGGACGTTAGCATTAGCTTTGCCCCACACTGTGAGGAAAACACGAAGCTTTAGTGGAATAACTGTCTTTAAAGACGTTGTGTTTGTAGTGTGTGTGACGACGAGGTAAACTGTTATATCTTTAGAGTCCAGCCTTTTATGTTTTACTCAAAAAAAAAGCTGCTTCCGGTAACATCTGACTGATGTGTGAAGCTAGCCGGGGTCTCCACTCTGTTGTCCTGCTGTCACTGATGTGATACTGAGCTGATAAGTCTAAGGTTAAATATAAGCTTTTTAGTTATGTTATTTTACATGTAGATCAATACCCTCAGTCATATTTGCGATGTATAATCAATATATGTTTTGTGATCTATCAGTACTGTTTGCTACTTTGTCCTTAACTGTCTTGTATCAGGTCCCAACTTACTATTAATACAGCCATTGTGTACATGCATCGATTCTACATGGTCCAGTCTTTCACCAGATTTCATAGAAATGTAAGTATTGTTCATCCACTGAAGTCCCAGTTACAGCTGTTAGTGCTTATGTTCAGTCAACTCATGAACTTATTTTGGTTCACCCTCGCCAGGTTATTTCTCCTGCTGCCCTTTTCCTCGCTGCAAAGGTTGAGGAGCAGCCCCGAAAGCTGGAACACGTTATCAAGGTGGCCCATGCATGCCTCAATCCTCAGGAGCCTTCACCAGATGTACGCAGCGATGTAAGTGTTGGGCTGCAGAAACCACCTGTGATTGTGCTCTGTCTCCTCCTGAGTGTACATGATGGGATGGTGATGTTACCCCCTTGATACTTAGGCTCGAAGGGGATGAATTATTTCAGAGATTGATATTGTTTGATTTTGCTGACTGTTGTGTGGATGTTCAGAAACAACAATTTGGCTGTAATCCTTCTTCTATGTTCCTCGGATTTGTGATGCTCATCATCACAGTTTTTGTCTTCATAGAGTGGATGTTTTTCCAATAGCAGCATTGATGCTGGTGCTCTTATATGTAATGTCAGTATGTTTACTTTGAGTTTTCCTTTTTTATTCTTACTCTTCCACTGCATTTAAGCTCGGCACAGTTACTTGACAGCGCATTTTGTTTTGAGCTACTCCAGGTGTTGTTCCCTCTTAATACGAGAGGGCAAAAGACAAAAATGCTCCCCAGTGTTTTTGTAGTGTTTCAGTCACCCAGGTAATATGATGTTTAACTGTTGTAAAACAAAAGCATCTGTACTCAACTGTGTAGCTTTTAATTGTCTCACTGCTTGTCTGTGAGGCTTCGTTGGCTCTTCAGAAAAGGTGGGTTTGATGTGTTTGGAAGGCCTCCCAGTGAGTAACGTGCCTGTCCTCTCAACCTCAGGCCTACCTGCAACAAGCCCAAGACCTGGTCATTCTTGAGAGCATAATACTCCAGACCTTGGGTAAGTTGGGAAGGAAGAACTGGGTCCCTTGATTTCCCTCCAGAAACACGTGATAATAAAAGTAGAGCTAACTGGTTTTACTTTTGTCCACAGAAAGCCCACATGCATATAGCAGCACAGGAAAGAGACATTCACGCTTCATATTAGCAGCATTTACCCACTGTTGTATTACAGTGTTTCTGCTTTTGTTTCTATTATGTCCATAACCTTTTACATTTCCCTCTTCTTTTCTTAGCTACATATTCTAAGCTATTTGTATGAGGACTTATGTGACGAATCACTGCATCATGAACAATGGCTTTTAGTATGTTCGCTACAGCTGGCTTAATCCTTTCCCATGTTTTCAAACTTCTAGGCAGTTGAAGAAGATAACCCTGGCTTTAATTGAAAACACCAAATTGTGTTTCACTGTTTAAACAAGATTCAGTGTCTTGCAACACTGCAGGACCGCAGCATGTTCTCACGTTCATCTGTTGTTTTCACATCGTCCAGGATGTTATTGGAAGACCCAGTGCAAAATGACATTCATCATTACTCTCTGCAACACTTAGTTTGATATAACTATATTCATTTTCTGTTTTTTCAGGGACTTGAATGAATGAAAACTAAGTGGTGCAAATGTTAATATCACTTCTGTATTTCATTTATTTAGACGTCTGTTTTTGTCCCTTTTTTTATTTACAGCTTTTGAAATCACCATTGACCATCCACATACTCATGTTGTCAAGTGCACTCAGCTTGTCAGAGGTGAGCATCGACTCTGCAGTCTTGTGAAATTCTGTTTGTATATTTCAGTATGACTGGAAGTTTACATGTTAAACTATTAACACTGGAGGTTTTAAGTGTATTTCTTTGTTCTATTGTTGTTCCAGCGAGTAAGGATCTGGCTCAAACATCTTACTTCATGGCCACCAACAGGTATATTTACAGTTCACTGTAAAATATAAGCATAAGCATTTTCACATCTTTTGCATTTATTGCTTATAATCCTCTAACTCAACATGTCTGCTCTCTCTCTCTCTCTCTCTCCTGTTTCTGTTTTTTTTTTTTATTGCCTTCTGGGATGTATCCTGCCACGTAGTCTGCACTTGACCACGTTCTGCCTGCAGTATAGTCCCCCGGTTGTGGCTTGCGTGTGCATCCATCTTGCCTGCAAGTGGTCCAACTGGGAGATCCCTGTGTCTACAGACGGCAAACACTGGTGGGAGTATGTTGATCCCACAGTTACCCTCGAGCTGCTGGATGGTATGTGTTGTAAATGACCTTGGCTCTATTTTTGGTTTTCCATTTGCAAAAGTTGAGGATAGTACCTGGTATTTTTTGGGTACCACCTCCATTGAGGTTCCAAGTGAGCTAAGGTGGAGTAGAAACACTGCAGACCACTGATTGGTTCAATTACCATCAACAGCGGCAGCAATTTTTTTCATATACTCAATCCACATTTTAAAAAAGACATCAGCTTGGAAAACTGTGCTGTACACTATGCTGTACAACTGACAACAGACGCAGACTTTCCTCTGTTTGGTTGCAGAGGAAAGGATTCAGTATGTATCACAGTAATGTCACAGCAGTTTCACGCAGTGTTGCTAGTGGTGGGGAGTATATTGATAATTCTCAATGTATCGTGGCTTGTTCCATAATTTTTGTTAAGCCACGGACGTGAGACTCGCTTTGACGTTGTGGTTTTTTCACTCTCTCCTATGGATCTCACCCTCTCACAGACATAAAAATGATCCATCACATACACTCCTCAGCCTGTCCAGACCAATCTAATGGGCGATAGTGTGTGAGCACACAAGGCATGTGTTATTGTAATAGTAGTTTATTTAACTTCATTTTAACAGTAGTTAAATTTATCTTGATTATAATAGACATTATTATGTACAAGTAGCTGTTCCATTTAACTTTAGTACAACAGTACTTTATCTAAGTTTATCTTAAGAGTACTTTATTTAACTTTACTATATAACAGTAGCTACTCTTTAACTACATTCTAACTGTAGTTAACTTAGTTGTTAAGTATTTTAGCAGTCTACAGTAGTCCAGAGGAGATTTCAAAATATTGAGATATAGATTGTGTATCGCATGTATTATTTATGGGCCATATCGCCACCCCCAGGCGTCGCTATGGCTATTAGATGAGAATCTTTCCGACACTGAGGGTATACTATCTGCAGTGGAAAAACAAAAATAAAAAGGACCTGGTACCTAAACTGAGTCGAGTCGTACTATGCAGTGGAAATGGCATTGCTTAATCTGAAGCTTTTTAACTTTCTCCAGCTGATATTTATCCTCACTTTCTCCAAACTTTTTTCAGAGCTCACACACGAGTTCCTGCAGATTCTGGAGAAAACACCCAGCCGGTTGAAACGGATTCGCAATTGGAAGGTACAGATTTTTATTCCGTTGCTCCTCGTTTAACCTACAGCGACGTTACCCTGCACTGTGTGGACAGGTTTTGTTGACTGACTGTGATTGTCTGTCTTCTCGGCTGCCAGGCTGGAGGCCAGACACCGAAAGCCAAGCCAAAAGTCCAGGAGGAGGGCGACCAGAGGGACACCATGATGAGCATGATCTCTATGGCGTCATCAGAGAGCACCGTGGCAGGCTTAATGAGCCTCTCGGCTCCACCATCCTCCTCCTCTTCCTCATCCGTCGGTGACAAAGACAGGGTTGCATCTGGCAGCGCACCGACTTGGAGTGGAAAAGGACAAGCAGCATCTGAGCAGCCGCAACAACAGCAACAGCCCAACAGTGAGGTTCACGCACCAGCTAAGGTGTCGCTGAGTGAGTACCGGGCCAAGAATGCAGATGTCCTGGCTGCTCAGAAGAGGAAGCTGGAGAACATGGAGGCCAGCGTGAAAAGGGATTATGCCAACGCTGCCCAGGCTCTCATTGGGCAGCAGCAGAGGAAGGAGAAACAGCAGCATCATCACCAGCAGTCCAGCACCTCCTCCTCTGACATGTCCAACCCATCGCCCATTATTCTGAAAATCCCCTTAGAGAAGGAGAGGCACGAGAGGACCTCTCTTAAAATGCGCTTCCCCCTAGCTGGGGGAGGAGGCAGCGGGCACAGTGGCAGCGCCCGTGGCCAGGAACAGGACATCAAAGTCAGAATACGAGTGCCTGAGAAGCAAAGGGGGAGTTCAGGAGAGGAGGGCAAGAGCAGGGACAAGCACAGGGAACGATCTAACCACCATCACCATCATCACCACCACCACCACCATTCCTCTTCTAGCAGTGCCTCACTCTCCTCTTCTCACAAACATTCATCTAGTTCTAGCGGGACTGTAGGAAGCAGCAAAAAAGTCCCTAGCGACTCCTCTAGAACAGGTTCTTCATCCTCGTCTACATCACGTAAGAGGACACACTCCCAAGATCCCACAGCAGGCACTCACCCTCCCTCTAAAGTCAGCAAATCTTCTAGGAATCCCTACCAGCTACCGTCCCTGTCTTCCTCCTCTGGGCAAACTCTTGGTCATGGCTCTGACATTATCCCCAATCTGGGCCTCCCCCACCACCAAGGGAGCTATCCGCACTCCAAAGGTGACAAGACAGACACTAATGGGCACGGTGCAGCAGGTGGGGCCCAGTCAAATGAATACCAGGACACTTTTGAAATGCTGAACTCACTTCTGAGCGCACAGGGGGTCCAGCCATCCCAGCCGTCCATGTTTGACTACAGATCCCAGTATGGGGACTACCGGTACAGTGGTGGCTCCAGAGGGAGCAACCCCAGACCCCCACCCCTCCCTTCAGAACCGCCTCCCCCACTGCCACCATTACCCAAATAAGTTCCTCATCAGGAGGTAAATTATGTACATTGTACTTGACATCATGAACATCCATCTTGTTACATAAAGTATTGTATAATGTTTGTTTTTTTAACTCACCTAGCATTTTTTACAGGCCTCAGTGTGACAGCAGTGAAATGTACCAGTGAGATAAATGAGTTTTCAACCTTTTTCTTTTTACTCGTGGGGCAATAATGAGAGGCTTTAAAAGCTGGCAAAATGTGTGGTGGTGGTGGGGGACACACATACACACACACACACACACACATACACACACACACACACACACACACACACAAAAGTGTAAATAATATTTTTTGTGCTTGTTTTACTCAGATGAAATGTGATGATGGGACCTGGTATTTTTTGAATCACTGTTTTGGAGTTTGGAGGAAGTAATTATCTTGAAATCATGAGGAAACTAAAAGATTTCCATCACATACCTGTTAAGTCTTCTTACTGATTGTCTTTTATAATGTTTTTATAGTATGTTATTTATTAATTGAATGCTTTTAAAGAAAAAAAAACAGTCCCCCCTTTTCTACCTTTTTTAAGGTTTCCCCTCTTTGTTCTTTTCAGAGAGATATTTCTTCATCAAAACTGTACAGGCTAGTTTGACAGTGCATGTCTCCAAAGCCATCGTTTCAATATTTTTTCTTTTTTTTTCTTTAAAGTTTCCTTTTTTTAACAGCCATAACTAAAAAAACTAGGTGATCGCCCACCCCTGGTGTTTATCTATTTTATCTCCTCCATTATTTGGTAAACTTGTACAAAGACTGTAAAATGTTTAAAACAAACATGAAATATTTTTTACATTTTGTTATGAAAAATTGCAAAAAAAGATGTAAATTAAGGAAGGTTGTACTGTTTTTTTTTTTTTGTTGTTGTTTTTAGATTTTGAGTGATGCAGTCATTGTTTTAAATGGTTGTAAAATATTCATATTCTGTTCTCTAATGATCACACTAATGGACAAAGTTCATACCAAGGATATTCATCTATAGTTTATCAAAAGGGTTCAAAGAGTTCAAACATATCTACACGGTATGGTCACAATGAAGGAATTAACAACATTAAAAAGAAAAATCCCTCCAGAGAAGAAATGTGAGTTTTTTAATCCTGTCATGTAATTTGTCACTTGTTCATCGGTTTCCTCTGGAGGGGGAGTCTTTTTTTTATGGTGATCACAGCTAGAAAATAGACAGAATATATAGAGAAACATTTTAAGAGATGCTTGCATCAGCACTATCCTGAAACTGTGCCGGTTTTTCTTTGTGGTGACCATATCGATCACAGTCTACAATAAAAGTATTCACAATACACTATATCAAAGACTAAACGAACACCATCTGTCTTGTTTTTTTACGGTTGTCTTTCATTTATGCATTTCCCTATAGGGATGTTTTAAAATGTGTAAATCCCAGTGTACGTCTGTCAATTCATGCTGGTCTGATTTAATCATGTTAAAGCTGTCTTTTGACTTCACATCTTCGAACACAACAGTCTGATTGTTTATAATCCATCCGCAAGCCATGGGTCATCAAAAATGTTTGCACGTGTCTTTTATTTGTATAAATCACAACACGGCAAGCAGGTTATCGACATACCTCCACGACAGGGTCACGAGCATGAAGTATAATCTCTAATTAATTTGAATTAATGATGAATTTGTGTTTTGAGCAAAGAGGAAGAGGTGCCCTCTGTTGAATCGGGTATCATCTGTACATTTAATTCATACTAAGCTTTATGTGGTTTTGATTGTATAGTATTACTGCTCTTTACCTGCTTTCTTTTATCAGTTTGTAATCAAAAACTCGTGTTTTAGGCAGTCCACAGTAATGCAGTACAACAAATCATTAGCCATACAATTGTAAAATATTTTTGTTCCCTTGATTATATGGAAGATAAGCTGAAGAGAGTACAGCTCTTTGCTCAGGCAGCAGAGGTTTTATTGGTTATTCAACTTTTATTGGTTGTAACAGGGAAACAGTAAATGCACTGAATATTTATCTCAGTAGGTTTGCCTACGATGCAATTGACAAAGTGTTACATGTATAATGGTTAGCCTATTAGAATAGATGTCCAATGTATCGCCATTTTGTTTTTGGAAAATTGTTTTATTTGATTTGGACAAATCTTCCAATTTAAGTATTAACTTTTTGCTGTAATAAAGTCAAAAAGAAGGACATGCATTTCAAAATAAAACCCATATGGAAGACACTCATGCAACCTAACAATGCAAAGTCACATAGCTACAATAAGTTTTCATGTTTTTTTCATGTCTTGGTGTTTTAGTGACACTCAGGTCTGGAAATTAAACGTTTTGGGATTTTCTTCTGTTTTCTGTTGAAACATTACATGTGAACACTGTTCTTTTTGATATAATGTGGTTGCTTTATTCTCAATTAAAGTCAATAAATATTTTAAGAAAACTGCTGCATTACATGTTATTATAAAACTTCAGTGCTGCAGTATTGTGGGTGGAAAACAATTTTACCATTGATACCACTTTGATTGGCAGCTAGATTGGCCAATGAAATGCCTTGAGCTCTGGCCAATCAGAGCTCGGAGTGGGCGGGCTCAGCCTGTCTGCAGTGGCAGTTATCGGGAATGCAGGAAAACCGTCGTAGTGTGCTTCGGAAGCGAAACCCGGTTGGACGTATCGAAAAAGGTAAGCAGTTATAAACCATATATGCGGATATGTTCATCCTCTGGCACCGAGGCATTTCGATGATATCGAGAAAGACGGTCGTCTGTCGCCATTGGTCAGCAAAACTGTCTTATTTGCCGCAAATTGTGAGAGTAGCCGTTAGCATTGTTAGCAACTGCTACACAAAGATGGCGACGCCATAACTGGAAGAGTGACGCAGCGGAGAGAGGCGGGCTAAAGCTCGGTGTGGCGCCTGGTTAGACTTCTTAAAGACAGAGAAAAGTGTTTGTGTCGCAATAAACATGTTCTATTTTTATTTTTTTCAACGATAATACGGCTTTAATTGTTTTGTGACTTATGGCCGTCATGTATGTTTATAATACATATTAACATGTAATAAAGTTAATCAATGTTGTATGATCTGATAAGCCACCTGATCTGCCTCCGCCCTCTTTAACGTTATTAAATGTGAACAGCAACATTAATTTTAATTTCAATGGGACCCGTAGTTGTTAGCACGGGTTCTTATGACTGCAAATTCATGATTTACAAGTTCAGTTTACATCCTGCTCGTTTAAAATCAGTTAGCATCTCTGACCGTTGGAACCCGTTTGTGATTAAAGGGCCAATGAGCCATGTGGATCTCTAATATGTGGGCATGTAATGTTAAATACCTGGCTTATAGCGTAATTTCTTTGTGATCTTCACAGATTAAGCCAAAATTTTGTTTGTATTATATAGTTAGTGTGCCTCTGTCCTTCATACTTTGTTGCTTGATTTATGCTTTTGTCTCTAAAATGTGTGGAAATAACATCAGATGTGTTGTATCTGACTAACAGCACTAAACCTAAAGATTTTCAGCTTAACATCATAATGCCACAAATTCCAAAGATTAGGATACAAAGCCTCACATTTGAGGAGCTGAATCGTGGGAAATTTTGGCAGCTGGTCAGCTGTGAAGTAATATCGATTTTCAGAATAGTTGCAGATTTTCTGTCGGCCATAAATCGGCTATTCATTTTATCACAGGTTGTCAAGCCTCTTGTTGTCATGGTTTGATTAATCATCTTGTCTTTAAATGACAAAAGATGTCCGGTGATATTTCCGAAAGTCTTGTTTGGTCTGACAGACACTGCAGCACCAGAGATATTCAGTTTACTGTCTTGCATAACACTGAAAAACAGAAAATCCTCTCACTCGAGAAGCCGGAATAACAGTCCTGTTTTTATCCAATGATTAATCAATTATCTAGAGAAACTTTTGGATTATTATTCTCTCAGTTGACTTGTTTCAACTGTTTTGCAGACTTGCAATGAACAGGATACGAATCCACGTTTTGCCTTCAAGTCGGAACCGGGTGACCCAGACACCCCGCCCTCAGGAGCCACAGACCTGCTCCTTCACCCAAAGACCATGTTCTCAGCCTCGACTGGAAGGCCTTGAGTTCTGCATCAAACACATTCTGGAGGACAAGAACGCTCCATACAAACAGTGCAGTTACGTCTCTGCCAAGAACGGCAAGCGTTGCCCCAATGCTGCACCAAAAGTCGAGAGGAAAGATGGGTGAGTGGAAAGCCAAATTGTAGTTAGATGTCTTCTTTTTTAATTGTGAGTCTCAATATGTAGTACAAAACCCTGGAAGTGTTAAAACAAATCCAAGCAACTTTCTGACATCTATTCTCCAATGGCTCTTTTTGTTCTTCAGAGTGACGTTCTGTGCAGAGCATGCTCGCAGGAATGCCATGGCCCTCCGAGCTCAGATGAGAAAGGCATCAGCTGGTCCATCCCCAGAGTCACTGTTGTCTCAGCTTAGTGGATACAACCGCGCAGAGACGCACAGCATCGATGGAAGCCGCTCTGAAGCTAGCCGTATTCTAGGTAAACGATCTCATTCAGACCACGAGATACTTTGTTAACACTTTAATTAAGGTCACCTTTTGTACATTAAAATTTCTCTTGTATTATGATAGAGGTAAATTGATTTGGTCCTTTGCAATTTATTTTAATGTGTGTAAATGTGATTTTAAAACTTAACCACACCCTCTCTGGACAGATGAGGACAGTGTGAGTGAGGAGGAGCAGGGTCCGTTGGTACTAGACCAGACATGGAGAGGAGATCCTGACAGTGAGGCCGACAGCGTTGACAGTGATCACGAAGATCCTTTGAAGTGAGTGATCGAAACTTATTTTGTCATGTATTGGGTTTAGATTACTGTGTGAATCTCATTTTTGGATGTTGGCTCAAATGTTAATTTATTGCGTCACATTTTTTGGCACACATTTTTTTATGTAAAGTTTTGATCTGTTCTTAATTGAATGCGTGTTTGTTGGCATACTTGGTGGTGTTATTGCATGTAAAGGTAATTGGTGAGGTAATTGACGATGTGTGTCCCTTTGTATCATTCTGTGTCCCCTCACTAAATGCGGAGGTTTTTGCGGCATATAAATAACCAAACACATATTTATTTCAGTAGTGTCCCTGATAAACAGTCCAGCTCCAAAAATAGAAAATCTGTTTGTGGCAGCAGATCCTTTAATCATGGCAGTCCGCCACAAATAAATGAACGTGTGGGAAACCCTGCAGCAAACAAAGTTATTATTTCTAAAAATCTCCCACATTGCAACACACAAAGAAACTGGAGGAACTACTCACAACCACAAGAAGATCAAATAAATCATGAAACGGCTACAGAAAGAGAGAGAGCAAAAACAAAATTAAATCAGTGTTAATCCAAGATTTTGTAGTCAGGCTGATTGGGACTAGTTTGAAGAGCTGATTAGAGCTGAACGCGACCCTTTTGCTTGTGAGTTTTACTGTAAATATATTTGTTTATTTTTTCTTTGTAAATCGCAGACATGCGGGGGTGTACACCGCAGAGGAGGTGGCGCTCATCACTCGAGAAAAACTCATCAGGCTCCAGTCCCTCTACATCGACCAGTTCAAACGCTTGCAGCACCTGCTTAAAGAGAAAAAACGTAGATACCTACACAACCGCAAAGTGGAGCATGAAACTCTAGGTAAATATAAATGACTAATGGGTTACTGATTACTCATGTTTTGCTTTGTTTACCTAGCAGTTCAATGGTCATTTGTAGGAAATCACCCCACACCCTGTCATATTTATGGCCTCACAGCCCTGAGTGTTGTCTATATTTGTCTGTGTTGCTGTCAGGGAGCAGTCTGCTGACAGGGCCTGAAGGTCTGTCCATGAAGGAGAGGGAGAACCTGAAGAAGCTCAAAGCTCTGCGCCGATATCGTCGTCGGTACGGTGTGGAAGCCCTGCTGCACCGGCAGCTGCGGGAGCGGAGGCAGGCTGTGACAGAAGGAGCGCCTCAGGTGTGACCCCCATCACAGTTCACCAAATCACAAACAACTGTCCCACTTACTCCCAGTGATAGAGCCATGAAAATAGTTCAGTTTCAAGATCTCCATGTCTAAAATATCCGCAGCCTCCTCAGTGCACTATGGCTTTAAACTCCAGAGCAGTTTGTGTTTCCAGAATCAATTTCTGATAACTCTGGATGATTCAAAGACGTTGCTTTGAACAGCACAGCAGTCAGCAGTTAGATTCAATCATTGGCCAGTGCTTTCAGCATAATTGATTTGGTGGTGAAAAGAGGCTTACATGTCAACATGTTTGTCTTATCTCTTGTTTTAAAAATCAGTTTGATTAAAAAATCTATTATGAAACCATTTGTTTTGGGATGGTATAAAACAGCATATGGTGTAGGGTTAGGTTTTTTCTCATAAGAGCCAACAGTTAGAGACTGACTGTATTGCACTACCACTACCCTATCTGATGACGATAAAAAAAAGTTTTCACATCAACCATAAAAGTAAAAAGTTCAGCTTTCATCAGGGTTCATTTGGCCCAGGGCTTGTTGTTGGTCTACCACTGCCCACTGTATTAACCACATTCACAAACACACTCTTTATGGAGAGATGATGCTGTTGGCCTTTAATATATTAATCTATTATTTATGTGTTTTTATATGCTGTAAATTTTACAAACAAATTCATTTCCACTTAGGGATGTTCCTGGTGACTAATTTTCCTGTTGACTAAATGAAATTTTTAATTAAGTCTAGTCGACTAGTCCTAAAAAAGGAAAACACTCAGAAAACAGTCGAAATTTAGCACAGTTTATTGTGAAGTATTTGAAACATTGTCCCAAAAATCTTGTGTGCATTAAGACACTTTGAAGCCTTTAATCACCATCTTCAACAACCATGTCGGATTTTAAATGCCACTGAAGTACGAGACATTTTGTGCCGTGCAGTATGAATGTGAACCCTGCACATTATCAACACCTCACTTAAAGGTAACAAATAATATAACATCTCAAAAGATTAATTGTTGCTGAATTCATTTTCTAGATCAAAGTGCTGCCAAACTGCACTGGTTTTGTGAGAGGACATTACTCTAATTTCCCGCTGTGCTGTTTTAAAACTACAATCTACTCAAGCATTACTGCGGGGAGGGGGACTGCTGTCTGACGGCTCTGTAGCACCCACTAGTGGTGGGCGGCTGCATGACAGTTAAGAATCCTTGTGCATGAATAAAACACTAATTGGTTTAACCAACTAATATTTCTGGTGCCGACTAGCGAGGAGGCGGGTGTGTAATTTCGTCTAATTCCGTGCATCCCTGCTTCCACTGTATTGCGGTGAAGGCAGAAATTTCTGAAGCTGATATCTGAAAATTTACCTGCATGGCAAGATACCACTGGAGAGGAGATTTTTTTTTGCAGTAATTTGGTGAACTGGTCCTTTTACATAGTG